AGGAGATAGGGAGAGCTTAGGGTTTGGGAAGATTATTCTTTAACTGATTTCTGCTTAATTGAACAAAAGACCCAAAGTACATAATTATAGCTAAAGGACCGGAAAACCTAATAGACTATCCTAATATGACTCGAACACTTAATAATAAAAATCCTCCTAATAATAATAGTAATTATAGAAACCATAGGTTTCTATCATGCCAGAATTAGAAATGGAATAAGTTGATGTGTATGCTGCGTTTGATGATTTGTATCATGTTGTGAATATTGGTGAGGATTGTGATTGCCTATACCTTGATACAGCTTTCAATTCTTCACTGGTTCTGCAAATTTCTTCTGCGTCTTTGTATTCTTTGAACAACCTCAATAGTCTGGATTCTTGTGTGGGTGGCCAAGATTCAGTTTTTACTACAAAGAATCACTCACTACCTGTTGTAGTTGTTCCGGAGACCATATTCAATGTGTCCAATTTCAAGCTTGGAGTTATATCTCCTGCTAAGGAAGCTTTGCAGTTCGAATGCAACAAGTTGTTTCAGCTCGCTTGGTATTCTGAGGTCTCTATTAGTCGTGGTCATTATGTAGTGTGTGTGGATTCTTTTGACAGTGTTCCACTTCAGGGAAGAGGCAGTGATGCTGACTATTGGGAACATACAAATATATTTCTTAGATTGGAATTCTACACAAAGTTATTAGGTTATTTGATCATGGTGGAACTTGGTTACTGTGTAATTCATTGTGGTTGGATCAACTCACAATTTATATGTCTCATTTGGTTTTGTGGTGGGTGACAACAACTGGTTTGCTGTTGTATCCACGGGCAGGGGTGATTCTCCCAATTTCAAAGAGCCATATTAAGGATGATGGGAGGAAAGCATTGAATATTACAACCCTTGGATGGCTTAGAGCTGCCAAGGATGTTGCTTTCATGGATTCACCGCTTACTACTGCAAATGATCATAATGGAACTATGGTGGCTTCACCATCCCTCTTAATGTTGGATGAAAATTGTATAGATTTAAGTGCAGCGGCCAATAAGAACCTGGAAGATCACAAAGCTGCTTCTCTGCTTGGAATTGTAGACACTGTTATCAGGTTGTTTGACACAGGAGGAACGGGGATATTGAGTGATTTCGTTGTTGTTGGATTAACTTAAGAGCTTCATCGTCTTGTCTGCAAGGTGTTGGCTTCTTAGTTGTATGGGGGGCGTCCTGTCTCCACTTCAAAGAACCATACAAGGAGGCTCGAGATGCAATATTGGGAAGCTGTTTGGTGTGAAATTTCAACATGGCTGGGTGTTTTGGGGTTGTGATGGTAGTTGGTGATGCTTCTGTTCTTGTTGTGCTTTTATAGGCTTTTGTAGTGTTGTAGCTTGCAGTTTTCCTCCCCTACGGGTCATCACTAATTCCTTCCTGTTATTGTTTTCAGCTTGAGGACAAGCTGGTTCTCAAGGCGTAGGGATTGTGGTGATTAGGATCAAAATGTAAACAAGAATTAGTTTGGGATCATTAGGTAATTGTGTTGTCCTATAAAGTGGGATTTTGTTGTAATTGCTAGGATATCGAATTACAGAACAAGAAATTTGGTTCCTTCTTTCTTTCCCTCTTCTTCTGCTTCTTCCTCTTCTCTGATACTGCTTCCCTTTTTCCTCCTGTTCTTCTTCCCCAATCTATCCTTCTCTTCTCTTCTCCTCTAATTCTTCTGTTCTCCAATTACGAGTTCAATTTCAATTCCATTCTCTGTAAACTTGCCGGGAAGATCCAGAGTGTTACATTCAACATGAGGGAGGGAGGGAAAGGGTCATTGTTTTCCTGGACAGGAGTGAGAAGATTCCCCTATAGGGAGGGAAGGAAAGAGATAGGGAGAAATGGATGGAGTGGATGAGGTACACTAGGTTGTGATGGTGGTGGGAAGAATAAAAGGGATTGAAGAATGGAAATTGATGGTGGTGAGGGTGAAAAATGGAGGCGGCAGCAGAAAAGGTAGCGAGTTGTTGGGAGAAGGTTATGTTGGATCTTAGGGAGGGAAAGGGTCGTTGTTTTCTTGGACAGGAGTGAGAAGATTCCCCTATAGGGAGGGAAGGAAAGAGATAGGGAGAAATGGATGGAGTGGATGAGGTACTAGGTTGTGATGGTGGTGGGAAGAATAAAAGGGATTGAAGAATGGAAATTGATGGTGGTGAGTGTGAAAAATGGAGGCGGCCTTGAAGTTTGCACAGGCCCGCCATACCATGTGCTTGAAAGACAACGGTCAATATTGGGGGTCGTGGGGACTTGAACACGTGACCTCAAGAACAAGCCAGCTCTGAAACCATGTCATAAACCAGTTGATCCCAATAACTCGAGTTGTTGAGAGAAGGTTATGCTGGATCTTATACAGGCCCGTGTATGGTGCTTAACCACTTCCTTACATATTAATGGTTAAATTTAGAGGATTAGGTTTTTATTATTTATATATTGATTAATGGTAAATTACTATAAGTTACTTGAAATTAAGTTATAAATCAGTTATCAAACTTTGCACTTATTACCTTACTATATTAGTGCCCGCCCGTTGGACGGATATATTTATTCAATGATATGTTTAACAATTGTCGAAACAAATATAAAATTGTATTTGATATGATAGAATAATTCAAATAATTTTATTCTAGAAACAAACAAAAAAACATGCATTATAGAGTTTTGATTAAAAACTTATATCCTAACCGATTCATCCACGTAAGGATGAAAGTGAAAAACTAAACCTAAACCAAAGAACTAACTTATGATTAAAAAATTATCAAATCAAACTGAAACTTGGATCTTCACCATCAATATTATCTTTCTCCTTTACGCTTGCAAATTTGTTTCCTTCTTGCAAATTTTTTTAATGGTTGATCTATTCTCTTCAACTTTTACTTCATAGGAAAACGGAGGATGCGAGCATGCTGGCATTAGTCAATCGCAGCGCCAAAGACTTAAGCGGACCGAAGAAATGCAATCAACAAATTAGCTTCGGTTCAAAGCTCTTGCGCCTCTATCAAGTATGTGGTAACATCTCAGTCTCCTTGCTCTAACTTGGCCAATGCGAATTGAATCTCAAATTGCCATGCAGTATTAGATGTCTAGTATGTGATTGAGAGTTTCTTTCACATGCTATGTGCAGTCGGAAGCAAGCGAAGGCCCAAACAAATCTTCGGATGTACCAAACCCAGTAGCCAATATTGAACTTTGGCATCATTCTGATTCTAGCAATTAATCTGTTCATCAACAGCTCGAGCCACTAGTCGCGGTCTAGAACCATCAAGGATGCATAAAAGCCCTCTCCCTTCAACAAAGACACGGAACTAGAACTCTCATAGTCCGAAGTTCTTCGAATTCAGCTGGATCGAAATCCTGTCAGACACTGTGGATGAAAACTCTAATACTATGTTTGCTTACAGGAACAAATTTAACGTGGTATCCCTGGAATGTCAGGACTAATCCACGGAAGACTTTGTACTCTCCAAGAACAATCTCACTATCTTTCTTAGCATCCGGCAGAGGACAGTAGGGAAAAATATATAACTCCCAGGAACCCAAGCACAACAGCATGGCTCTTGTGTATGGGGTAGTGCATGGGCTAAACAAATGGGCCAATGACATAATGGGGCGCCTATTTACAAATGGGTTGTGAGTTGTAAACCAACACCTATCACTAACAATCTCGTCATTGCCCATTGGAGTAGAGGTTAGGGTTATTCCTATCATAGAATGACAAGTAGGGATGGCAACAAAACTCGAACCCACGAGTACCCACTCGATCCAATCCGGTCAACGCGGGTAAAATCCGTGTTGACGGGTTTTGGACCGGGTTTGGGTTTAAACCCGTTCACTATTCATCGGGTTGGGTTTGGGTTTAGGTAAACCCGACCCATGGGTACCTGCCCACACCCATATAATTAATTTTTTCGGCATATTTAATATTTTAAACAACTAATCTTATTTATTTTGTAGACATTCTAATTTTTTCTTTCTAGTTATGTAGAATGAAGTTGATGTTATCAAGTGGAGAGTGAAAAACTTAATTGAAAGGAAGAAACTTTCAATTAATCATGTTATTTATGGATAATTTGTGATTTGCTTTAATTTTCTTCAGTTTTCTAGGTTGGTGTTGAACAATTTGTATAATTAATTTGTGATTTACTTGAATTTTTTAGGATGGTGTTTTACATATAGATAATTTGTATTGAGAGATTGATATTTGACTCTAATTTTGGTAGAAATTTTTTATTGTGAATTTTTTACGACAAAAACCCGTGGGTACCCATCAACCCGCGGATACCCAGCGGTTTGGGTTGGGTTTGACTTTTTGAAACCTAGTGGGTTTTATCCCGGGCATATTACATAACAGAAGCGCCTTCTCTCTTGCTTCTCTCTTGCTTCTCTCTCATCTGGTGCTTTTGATTTGTGTTTCATCTTTCTTTTTCTTTTGTCCTGGCTGGTAGCCAGATGACTTGATTGCCTCCTCTGTGAGAAGTTTTCTTCCTTCCTCTTGAATGCGAATCTAGAGAAGATCTTTTTGTACTTAAGTATTGTGTATGGAATCAGAAATGCTCCACCTACTGCAACAAAGGAAATTAATTCTTCCTTCTTACATTGTCCATCAAACCAAAAAGAAGAATGACTACCCAAAGTTCAGAGGAATAAATACACCAAGGGCAGATGTTAGTCTTCTCAAGCCACCATTAATACGAAGAAAAAGAAGCTTGGAGCCCCTCAAACCAGCTGATAGATTCAAGAACTGTAAAGCTCCTGGAACAGCCATAACACCCCGTCCAATCAAGCCAACAACCGAAGTAAATGAAGCAGTGAAAGGAGGTGGAAATGCTGCGAGTCCTATAAGAGCCAACAAATTAACTCAGCGCAAAGAAGCCATTTCCCATAGTTCTCAAACATCCCGTGAGCAAATTTATTCTGCAAAAAAGACACCAAACATGAGTATGAATTATCTCATCAACCAGGCTGAGAATGGGATCTTGAGATGGTTCCGGATGAAGAGAGGGTTAACAACCGGTTTTCTTTGGTTGTTAAGGTCTTTTCGGAGCGTACTGTGAGCCTGAGGGCTATGAGAGGAATGATTCGATCAGCTTGGGTGGACAACTTCAAGCCAAAACTCCAAGAGATGCCGATTATCCAGCCTGTTGTTGAGAATATCTTCACCTTGGATTTTGAGAAAAGAGAGGAGATGGAGGCTATATGGAAGGAGCGCCCTTCCCCTATTTCTGGCACCCTGATGCAGCTGAAGAGGTTGTCTGGTCTCGAAAATGCTCAAAATATCAGCTTCAAGATGGTTGAGTTCTGGGTGCAAATCCATAACCTTCCCGAGGCCTACAGAACGGAGAATAACATTGCTATGGTCAGCAGAATGTTCCATAAAGTGATTGAGATCGATCAAGCAGCCTTTCAAGCACAAATCTACAGAAAGTTTGTAAGGGTTTTTGTCGAAATCGATACATCCAAGACAATCCCAGATGGTTTTTACATTCGACATCAGCAGAAAAGGATTTGGATCAAGTATAAGTATGAGAAGCTCTTTTCACTTTGCTATTTCTGTGGAGGAATCGAGCATACCAGATCAGAGTGCGGGCTGAGAAGGAAGAACGAAGAAGAAGGGTTGCCGCTCCCTTCGATACAGAGATGGCGACCATGGACCAGAGCTAGCTCCCCACTGTTCTCGCCAAGAACCAGTCAACAACAAGTAGGTGAGGCATATCTAAATAGAGCTGCGACGTCGACATCGAACTCACCGGGAGGATTCCAGATCCAGTCACCGCCGACCACCGGAATGGGTACCACCCGAAGTCTCAATCAGATGGCCCCACTTTCCTCGATGATATCGCCTGCTCCAAATCAGTCACCACGTTCGAGTTTCGCTCAGAACTTTTCATTCCCACCCACAACGGATCTATTCCCAACTCCCAACTCTTTCTTACCCTCTCCCCAAAGCTACTCCCAGTTTGGTCAGAGCCTTGGAGTGATATCATCCCCATCTCAAGGTACCAACATGTCAAGGAATCTTTTCGGTTTTCCTTCTGGTGCCCCATTTCCTAACTCCATCCCTCAAATACCTAGCTACCAGGACCCGCTACCAGGCTTTATTACTTCTAACCAAAGCCCATTACCATATCAAGCCCATGCAAACTACATATTCAACCAAAACTACTTCCACTCCAGCCCAAGCGGTGCCTAGCCACCAAATAGAGTCACAGCTCGTGGCCAAAGCTCCAAAAATCGCACAAGCAGCCCAAGCTTTCAAAAAAAGAAAAGAAAGACGAATAGCCAACACTTCGAATGAGAAAGAAAACAGGGGAGTGAGCTAATTTGTGCCGAGGAGGATAAAACAGGGATGGTCAAGACAACAGAGATGTTGAAATTCCGCCAGCTTTGAGCCTAATCTTGCTGTGGTTATGGTGGCCGATTCCAAGCTACCTGAGGCGCCATGAATGCCTTAGTTTGGAACTGTAGGGGTTTCGGACAACCTCCCATAGTTCGCCAACTTCGGAAGATGGTAAAAATGTTTAAACCATCTTTCGTGTTTTTGTCCGAGACCCAGAAGAAAAGGTCTTACATGGAAACTAAGAGAAAGAGTATGAGATTTGCTGGAAACTCCTATGTTTGTCCAATTGATCAAGCAGGTGGCCTTGCTCTGTGGTGGGTTGAGGGTATTTCCTGCAAAATTCTGGATAGTGATCAATTTTTTATTGATGTTTTAGTTGAGGGGGATGATGGTTTTTACATTACTTTTGTTCATGCTCCCTCTGATCCGAATCGGCGTAGGGACTTTTGGGATCGGATTAGTAGCCTTCGCAGTAGCTTTGATGATAAGTGGGTTGTCATAGGAGATATGAATGTGATTTTGTTCCCGGAGGAAAAATTGGGTGGAGGCCCTCCAAGGAACGAATCTGTAATCCCTTTTAAGAATTTTGTTGATGACAATGCTTTAATGGACCTTGGTTTTAAAGGTTACCCCTTTACTTGGAATAATAACCGTGAGGGCCAGCGAAGAGTGGAGGAGAGGCTTGATAGAGCTTTATGCTCTGCATCATGGAGATCAAAGTTCAGAAACGCCCTTGTCTTCCACGAATTACCTATCGAGTCGGATCATTGGCCATTAAGACTGGAGATGAAGGGGACTAAAGTAAGATCAAATCCTCCATTCCGTTTTGACTCAAGATGGCTTAATCAAGAAGAGTGTAATAATATAGTGAATTGTAAATGGGATAATGGAGGGATGTGTCATGATAGACTGTTGAATTGTGAGAAGGAATTAAAAGAATGGGCCAGAGAAGTTTACTGGGACCAGAACAAGAGAGCTGCGGATATTCAGGCAAGATTAGAGGAAATTTTTATAATGGATAGGTCAGTTGATATTGTTCAAGAAGAGAAGTTTGATGACCGAACTTGCTGCCATTTGGAAAGATGAAGAACTGTTCTGGTATCAACAATCTGGAATAAATTGGCTACGGGAAGGGGACTAAAACACGAGTTTTTTCCACTCGTCGGCGACTCATAGAAAGCAGAGAAATAAGATTGTTGAACTTAAGGATGATAATGGAAACATCTTTTTTCACCCTGAGGAACTTGCTTCTCATGTCACCAATTATTACAAATCTCTGTTTACTCGGGTTGATAGGGTTATTGATACTGATATTCTACAAGGCTTCCCAAAAGTTGTTTCAGAGGAAATGAATAGGGAATTATGTGAGATTCCATCTCATGAGGAGATCAAAGTAGCAGTCTTTGATCTTGGACCAACGAAATCGCCAGGGCCGGATGGCTTTGCAGGCATGTTTTTTAGACGCTTCTGGCCTAAGATAGGAACTAAATTTTGTCAGGAAGTTCAAGACTTCTTTCATTCTTCTAGCATGCCACAAGGCTGGAACAGTACTCATATTGCCCTTATTCCCACGAATCAAGCTCCTGCAATGGTAAGCCAATTTCGATCGATTAGCTGTTGTAACTTCAGATACAACGTCATATCCAAAATCATGTCAACTCGTTTGAAGAAGTGGATACCTGGGTTGGTCTCGGAGATGCAAGCTGCCTTTACCAGTGGTAGGCTTATTCAGGACAACATCATCATCGTCCATGAGATGCTACACAATTTTAAGAACCGAAGACATGGGGATTGGGACATGATGGTTAAACTGGATATGCGTAAAGCATACGACTTAGTCGATTGGGACTGCCTTGATTCAATTTTACAAGCCTATGGGTTCTCTGATATTTGGCGAGGGTGGATAAATGAGTGTATACGGACTGTGAACTTCTCTATACTCTTGAATGGAAGCCCCACTGAATATTTTCATCCTACGAGAGGAATCTGCCAAGGGGATCCAATAACACCATTCCTCTTCATCTTACTGTCAAACGCTCTCTCTTTTCTAATCGATAAAGGTGTTGAGCAAGGTGAAATAAGGGGGATAAAGCTTAATCAAGAATGTCCAAGGATTTCTCATTGCCTATTTGCAGATGACACTGTCATCTTTGGAAAGGCAAGCGTTTGTGAAGCTATCCATATTCTGAAAATTTTACAAAATTATGGAGAAGTGACAGGACAGGAGATCAATGCAAGTAAATCATCTATCTTTTTCAGCCGTAACACTCCTGAAGGAATTAAAGTCCTTGTGACGGCTAGGTTTGGTTTCCCTCCTTCTATATGCCACGACAAATATTTTGGAGTACCCTCTGAATGGGGTAAGTGGAAGAAAGAAACCTTCAACTTCCTCATCGAGCGAATGGAAAAGAAAGGTGAGTCTTGGAAGAGTCTTCTTCTTTCCCCGGGTGGAAAAGAAGTCCTCCTTAAAGCAGTCATTCAGGCGATTCCGGCGTACATTATGAGTGTGTTCCTTCTTCCTTTATCTCTCACTAACAAGATGGACTCGATTTTACGCCGTTTCTTTTGGTCCGGATCTATGAAAAAGAAATCGATTCATTGGTGTGATGCGAAGATTCTGGAGAAACCAAAAGAAGAAGGGGGCTTGGGATTTCGCAATTTTCACCTGTTTAACTTGGCTCTCATCGGCAAACTAGTTTGGAGAATTTTGGAAAATCCTGATGCTTTGTGGGTTCAACTTCTAAAAGGTATTTATTTCCCTAATGGAGATTTCTTCATGGCAACTAAAGGAAGATGTGGATCATAGATTTGGAATGGGATTTGTGAAACAAAAGAAATGCTGAAATTGGGATTGATCAAGGTGATAATGTCAAGGGAAGGAACTAACTAGATTCAACAGTGATCCTTGGATACCATCAATACCAACGTTCTCATTGAATCACCTTGGACTGAATAATTCTAGAGTGAACGAATGGATTTTTGACAGTGATCGTGTCTGGAATATGGAGGCGATTCGAGAGAGTGTTCCACCTGAAGTTGCTGATGCTATTGGTAGAGTACCAATAGGAACAACGTGTGGAAGAGATGTTTGGGCTTGGAGATTCACACAGACGGGAGATTATAGTGTTAAGTCAGCTTATCATTCTCTCTGTCAGGCTCGCGATCAGAATGCGGATCATCCTCCTGGGAATCAAAACCGACCAAACCAAAAGGATTGGAAATGGCTATGGTCTCTGTCTCTTCCACCAAAAATCAGATTTTTTGTGTGGAAATGTGCAAAAGACGCCATAGCATCTCGAGCAAGGCTTTTCACACGACAATGCTCTCCTAGTCCCACCTGCCCCATTTGTGACAATCAGGAAGAATCTATTTCTCATTGTCTTTTTTTCTGTCCTCATGCTAGAGCCACTTGGATAGAAAATGGTTTACATCATTTTATTCCAACATCTGACTTCCATTTTCCATTGTGGTTTTTCCACTTGCAGGATTTTGTCCCTGAGGGTACTATTAGGAAGATAGCTTTTTGCCTCTGGAATATCTGGATATCTAGGAATGGATTTGTGTTTGAAGACAAGGTTATTTCCCCAACTGCTACAGCAACGATGGTTCAACGTGACCTGACGAAATGGAAAGAATCCCGAAATCATACCAACAACTCAGCAAATGGTCACTTCACTTCCTTGCAAACTCAGCCTAGGGGATCCCGTTCAGACCCCTCACCACCGCCATGACCTTTCCAAAAGATTGTGCATTGTGATGGATCCTTCGTATCGGAATCACAGTTGGCGGCTTATGGGATTGCTATTGCAAATTCTCATGGTCAGGTGTTTGATGGCAAGGCTGAGACCTTCTATTGTTCTGTTCCAATTCAAGCTGAAGCTTTGGCCCTTCTCAATGCGGTTAGCATGGCAGCTCTTGATCCCGTTCGTACTAGCATTCGCTCTGACTGCCAAATCCTTACTTTGGCACTCAAACAGCACCCGTCCTTGTGGCCTTGGCAATGTCGGGCGACGATTGCACTGATTATTCCAATCCTCCTTGATGCTCCGTGGATTGACGTTTCCTTTTCTCCTCATCGACATAATGCTCTGGCTGATTGGGTTGCTAACAATGCCCGCTTGGGTTTGTTACCAATGGATTGGATTGTAATCGCTAACCTGCTGTATCCATTGTTGTAACCTCTTTGCCTTCATTTGGGTTGGTAATGGAATAAGAGAGTCCCACTTTGTTTAAAAAAAAAAGGGTTTTATCCCGGGTTTTTTTCACGGATAAACCTATGGGTTTGGATTTGACAAAACCCGACCAAATCCGCACTACTAGAAAAGTGACAATTAGAGGCTAAGTCTATTTGCCACGATAAGTGATTTATGGGCCACGATAGCTTTGTAGCGGCACATAATTGTGTGCTGTCAATACTGCAGCCGCTAAATGTCTTTAGCGACAGATGTTAGCGGCAAATGTTATTTGTCGCTAATTTATGAATTACCGACAGATAGTTTTGTTGCCAATTGTACTTTTAAATTACTATTTTATTGTCTTCCATAATACGTTTTGGAGACAATTGTACTAGCCTTGAAATCAATCCGTAGATACAATCTATGTGCCTCTAATGGAGAATCTTTTGTCGCTAATTTAACCTTATTTCTATTTTAGAGGCATATTAATAGCCTCTAATTCTTATTTCTATGACAAATGTATTTGTTGATGTGACTTGAATCGGACTATCAGCCGCTACGATTGGTAATCGGGGGTCTCGCTGACCGGTCAGCGAGTGGGGTCCAGGGGCAACGCCCCCCGCCCACGGCGTATGGGCTCAATGTTATTTGGGTTTGGGTTTTGGGCCTAGTCTGTAACCGTTGCTTTGCCAGATTTGATTAGGTTTAGACCCACATGGAGAAGTACTATAAATACTTCTCATACTCCTCTGTAATCTGTAATCTCCTCGATATAGTGAAACTGACTCTCTCTCGCCCGTGGTCGTAGCTAACACACATCGTGTTAGTGAACACGTAAACCGCATGTCGTGTTTTCGATTATCGCTTTCGTATTCTCGCTTTGTCGATTCCTGCGATATCCCGATCCGTAGCAGCGCGTTTATAACAAGTGGTATCTGAGCCTGGTTGGAAATCAGGCTAGGGTTTTCGATTCAGAAGAATGACGTCGGTGAACATGAAGATCGAAAAGTTCATGGGGAAGAACAGCTTCGCTATATGGCAGATCAAGATGCAGGCTTTATTAAAACAGCAAGGGCTGTGGGGGCCGCTGTCAGCGAAACAGAAGAAAGCAGCGGTCGATGACGATGAGTGGAATACCCTGGAGGAGAAGGCCCACCCGACCATCATGCTATCATTGTCTGATGACGTCATCATTGAAGTCGTTGCTGAGAAGACTGTCACGGGCTTATGGTTAAAGTTGGAGAGTCTGTATATGACGAAGTCCTTAACCAACAAGCTGCATCTCAAGCAACGGTTGTTCAGCTTGAGGATGCAAGAAGGCACGCCTTTGAGGGAACATCTCGAACAACTTAACTCTATTTTGCTGGATCTGCGTAATATAGATGTTCAAGTTGATGACGAGGATGCTGCCCTAATCCTACTGGTTTCTTTGCCGAGTTCATATGAGAATTTCGTTGATTCTTTTATTGTTGGTAAAGAAAGCGTGTCGTTGGAGGATGCCAGGTCTGCTCTTCATACGAGAGAGATCAGGCATAAGGCGTCTAGATTTAATACAGGTGGTGAGGCATCGGGTTTGGCTGTTATAGGTGGAAAGGGAAAGAAGAAATCTGGTAAAGGGAATTCGAACAAGAATTCCAAGGGTCCCGATCCACAGCCAGGTGATACTTGCCACAACTGTAAGGAAGTGGGGCATTGGAAGTACAACTGTCCCAATAGAAGAGGCCAACAGAAGAAACAAGGTTCAGTTGTCGTGGCAGAAGTGGACAACAGTTCTGAAGACGATCTCGCCTTGGCTGTAGATGAGAAGGCACATCGTGGGGATGTGTGGTTTCTGGATACTGCAGCCTCATACCATATGTCTCCGAACAGAGATTGCTTCACAACCTACGAGCAGATAGATGGTGGTAACGT